TGATCCTGAAATACCATTGCCCAAAGTGGCTTAATTATATGAGGAAACTAATGCAAACATCCTGAATCAGTGGGACAGTTTTGAAGCAGGCAAGAGGTTTGAAGTCATTCACATGCCTATGTACTAATTAAAGTAGGATGGAGCTCATGCACAGCCTATTAATTGTCCTGTGCATCTAAGGAACAGACATTTGTCCCTTATCTATCATTTGTGGTTTTATTTTAGACATGTCAAATAGAAAAAAAAAAAAGCATTTATTTTACTCACTAGTGTTGAGAAGCTGTTGTAATATCATTCTGAGTTTACTAACCTTCAAGAGGTAAGCTTCAGGCTTTATGGTAGTTGCTTAATTAAACAAAGCCTGTGTGTATGACAACACTCATCCCTATTGTAAACATGTTAGTTCAGTGGCTCCAAGTAAATAATGCTTGCATTCACATATTCTGAATTTTGGACTTTAAGTAGGTGGCTTATGGTCTTTTTAGCTTATTATATATATTCTCTCACATGATTGGTTGATGAGTTTTATATCCTTTTATATGTGCTTACTAAATTTGTATCTTCATAAGACTCAAATAATTCAACATTGCCCACGGATGTGTATTTTATTTTTCATACTCTCACCTTTCTCCTAGGGAGTTAATTTTCTTAGTTACTTTAAAAAATGTTATGCAGTGTTTGTAATAGCAAAAGTAACATGAGGAGAAAATGGAGTAAGCTTATGTTTTGGAAGAAAGACGCTTCTCAGAATTCAAAAAAAATTATTCAAAACAAAATCCAAGGCCAGTTTGGATGGGGCTTTGAGCAACCTGGTCTAGTGGAAGGCATTCTTGCTCATGGCAGGGGGCTTGGAACAAGATGATCTTTAAAGTCTCTGCCAACCTAAACCATTCTATGATTCTATGACTATTATCTGGACATCAGTTGTTGGATATTTTACTTTTTTTTTTTTTGTTACATCTCAAATGAATTCATGGAATTCATTATTCCATGGAAAACTGAGGTAATCTGCCTTTAAAAAAAGAAGGGGAAGTAGGCATAGCTGGGTGACCATAAAGCTGTTTATCCTGAATGACATGGGAAATAGAAGAAACTGAATGGGAAAGTGGAAAGCTGTGTCTGACACACCCTAGAAAAAGGAAAACAGCAGTAGCATTAACTGTAGTGGTCATGCATACCTGTTTGACATGGAAAGATTCTACTGGTTTGAAATTTTGTTTGTAAAATGGATGATAGAGATGAGTATGGCAGCATTTAACAACAGATGGAATTGGCTCCAGTGCCCATTTCATCTAACTTCTTCACATGCTAATTCTCTTCTGCAAGACCACTGAGCAGCTTTCAGTCAGATACCATATTATGCTACTGTTTCCATCCAACATCTGGATGTGGAATATCTGTCCAAAATTATCCTTGTTTAGAAACACAAGATACCATAGTAGGCAACCCTAGATCAGTGTTTTTGTACTGCTAGAGATCCTGTACAGAACAGAGCGTTTGAGCTGATTGACTTAAATAACTCCCTGAATCCATTAACGTGTAAGTTTAAGATTTTGTGTCTTGTAGTGACTTGTTTCCACTGTGGTCTGGCTAAAAGATTTCTCTTGAAGGAAATAGCTTGTTACTCATGCTCACTCGTTCCCTTTTACAGTGGGCTCTTTACAGCACACGTCATAAAGGTGTTGAGGAAAAAATGAGACTAATATCTTTTAAATAAACTTAGGACTATCTTTTTCTCAGACCACATTTTATGATTACTGTTAATATCCCTGAAGACTTCCTGTAGTTAAGAGAAGCAACAGCAGCAGCATGTGACCCCAGAAATCTAAGAGAATGAGATTACTTTCTTTTAGATTAGCAGAGAGGAACTAGAGTTGCAGACAGCTTTGACAGATTGAAAGGATGTATCAAACACAATTTTCAACTTTGTCATTTTTGGAAGGGAAGGGGACCCACTGTCTTTGGAGTCTACTGGAAGCTAAGTCTGCAGAACATGCAGCAGGAAAACACAAGTCCGTTCTTCTTGCAGTCAGAGTGCAAGTGCGACTTGGATTCCAAAGCAAAGTGACCAGGCTAGGGACAGCTAATGCACTGTTTTGGGTGACTGCCAGGAATTGACAATTGTCTTTGTTAACAGCCTTGATCATGAAGAATTTTATTCGAAAACCAATAATCTAGTCAAGTCCTTTTTTAAAAACACTGTATATATAAAAATAACATGCATATTTGGATATAACTGTGTATACATACATCTACACAGATGTCCATATCTTTGTGTATATATAAATTCTCTTAAATAAATTATGACAATGTTGCACATGTTATTATGGAAGACCATAAACAAGGCTAGTTGTGTAAGGAAAAAACATCTTGTTAAAACAACTAGTATGAGAGGGAGGGAGGCATAGACAGGTGTTTAAGCCATTTCTCCCTTCCAGACTGAAGATCTGGTTGTGTCTGAATGACAGTCTGTTCTGTCCACCTATGTTACCAGACTTGAAAGATACTCACCGTCACTTTAATGTCATTATTTTCTCTTGCCATGACTGGTTGTTTATTGTTAAACATTTACTATCATTCCTGGGGATCTGCACTGTTGTGATTATACAGACTAGGCAAAAAGATATAAAACCTAGCCTGTCACTAGAATTTCGGTTTTTCTCTCTCATCACAAGTTATTTCCTCTGTAGACCACAAGTCTATGCTGAGGACTGGTAGATACTCACACACCCCTAACCTGTGGTGGTTCTGTGCTTTTACCTTTACCTCAAAGAGCAGCTGTGGAAACTGTTCTGAAATACCTACATTAGCTATGATACACACTGGTTAGAGTGTATCTGAAACATACCTGTTACTGTGCATAAAGAACGGAGCTGTCAAACGTGATGAGATTTCATTGTGTTTAGTCCCTTTAGCTGAACCATCTTGGAACTGACTTGTTTACTCCAACAGTTACATGGATTACAGCTATTTAAGTGAGTACGAGCTAATGTGATTGTCTCTGGCTAAAGCAGATAAGAGGCATGAAATGTCATAGTGACATTTTCGTGTTACCAAGCAGATGCTGAAGTAAGCCATATTAAAGAGAGATGACACTTGGTGGATTACTTTTTAATGTTTGCTTTAGGTAAAGCACACTCTTGACATGGGAGAGTTGGGATGACATGGTAGCTTGGAGGAGGAGGACTCAAGTATGCAGGAATGCAAAGAATTACTCCCAGTAAGGCTGTTCCACAGAAATGCTGAAGCTGTGGGTGTATTTAGAGCAAAAAAATTATTTCCTGTGAACTGAATCTGAAATATATGAGATCGCTACTTTGTCTAAAAGGGACTGTTTCATTAGAGGCATATTGGTGCTAGCTCTGCTAAACCTTTCTTTAATCAGCCTCTTGGGAAATTTGCTGTCTCCAAGCTTGCTTATATTCAGCAAGTTGCTGAAGTCTGTAGTTGCATTTGAGAAGGTGGGTAATTTACTGCGTTCATGACAGCCTAGTTGCTGAGCAAATGGTTTATAGTGATTTATGGCTAGGAGTAGAGGAACTGTCTTGAGCAGGAGGGCTATGAAATGGTCAATCTGTTTTCAGAACCTCACATCTGAAACAATGATAGATGGGCAGTATTGTTACAACTGTGATTAGTAAAGCTATTTTGCACAGTACCAGGTTAGCTATGTTGAATCCTGTGATACTGGATTGCGGATAATTCACAAGTCATTCTGGGGACTGGGGAAGGAGACTGGGAATACGTATGAGTTACATAGACAGTCTGTTACTGGCAAAGCTTGAAATGTCTTTGTATGAGGGTGGACCCTGACCAGTAACTAAGCACCCACCAGCTGCCCTCTCCCCCTCCAGTGTGATGGGGGAGAGAATTGGAAGAACAAAAGAAGAAAAATAATGTGTTGTAATAAAGACAGTCTAATAAGTGAAGGAAAGAAAAAAAAGAAAAAAAACAAGTGATGCAAAGTCAGTCACTCATGATCTCCCACCAGTAGAGCGAGATGCCCAGGCAGTCCCCCAGCAATGGCTGCATTGGAAAAACCAAACACACGGGTTTTATTGCCGAGCACAACATTATATGGCAAGGAATACCCCTTTGGTCAATTCTAGTCAACCGTCACAGCTCTGTCCCCTCCAAACATCTTTCCCAGCCCCAGCCTACTTGCTGAGGGTGCAGAGCGAAAAACAGCAAAGGCATTCATGCTGTGCAAGCCCTTTTCAGCAACAGCTGAAACACTGGTATGCTATCAACACAGTTTTAGTCACAGATATGGAACACAGCACTATACTGGCTGCTGTGAAGCATCCCAGCCATAGCCAGTACAATCTTCTGCAGTATCTAACAGAATGAAAATACATTAAAATAACTTTTTGATCAACTGTACCAAGTCAGTGTAATTTAGGATATTGAGAAGATGGCATCTGAATATGGAAAGAACCATGTCCAGATTGTACATTTGGGAAAACAAGATACAGTCTTTGCTTCCTGAGAATACTGATTCCCTTCCAGACCATTGGGGATGAACAATACAGGTGCTATATTTCTCTAACATAATTGTGGACTTGGAGAATAGCATAAAATGTCTATTGTCTGGCATAACAGATCTTACATGTTTTCTTCCTTATTTCTCAATGGAGTGAAGACATTCAAATTTTCAATATACTGTATTATCTTTTTTGAATTAATAGCCTGAAAGTTAAGATGTTAGTGCCCTATTGAAGAAAAGCATGTAATATATGTGCATATATCAGACATTATGGCACACATATTTTTGTAGAGATGGACACTCGAATTATATACAAAGTATTTTCCAAATGTATGTGTTAAAGCAATGACATATCTGCATGTAGTATGCTTGATTAGCACAATTAAAGGATGTAAGAACATGTGATAAAATATGACACAAGTTACATGCTAGGCATGTATCCCTATAAGTTAATCTAAATGACTGACATCTTTTTTTCCAGTGGTTTTAAGCCTGCATGCCCTACGTTGGCACTATGGCAGAAATTCGTCTAGGTAGAAGTCTTAACTGTGGAAGTGATGAGACTGGAAGCATGTCTGTTGTGATGTCAAGCATTTAGTAGTGGTGAGGCACAATTGGAAACGGCTGGAGAGTTGATTAGGTCACAAATGAGCATTATCTTCTCACAGTATGGATGGAAGTAGCTTCTGGCTCTCCACACTTGATATTATGGTCAAACCCATTAGTCAGACTGCCTTTTCAGGAAAACATGAAGTCAGCTAACTTAAATATATCTCTAAAATGCAGCGCTGTAATATTCCACTGTGCTTTACCATTAACACTTCTGTGTGAATACATCAACCACCACAGCTAAGTTGGAAAGTAGAACTTTGTGCTTAATGTGCATTTTTTATTTAGTTATTTTTTGGAAATTGTTTCTCTTTATGTTAATCTATAGTAAGTGGTTGACTATGAACTCATCACCTTCATCTAATAGGGTTTAAATAATTTTAAATTTGCAGTTTCACTAATTTCACTATTCGACTCTCAGACATTTATAAAGCAGCTTGCAACATAAACTCAGGGGTAGTGTGAATAAAAGTTGAAAGTCCAAAAGCCTTTTTCCAAATATGCACATCAGAAAATTTTAGGCTACCCAAGTAGCCATAATAAGGATAATTTGGAGTGAATCTTTAGGTGCCTGGATCTTCTAAGGAGTTTACAGTAATTGTAAATGGAAGTGGGCTTGTGTCTTGCTTCTCTGAATAATGAAAAGCTATGCCCAGAAGTTGTCATAGCAGCTGTCTTTCTCATCAAAATAGCATTGTACTAGCATATGTACAAGTCTTGTCATTGACTATCATCTTGTTAATGGACTGCTTATGTATCTTAATCAGGTTGCCACTTGAACTTCATTGAAAGTATTAGTATAGCAATACTTTAACTTTTCTTTTTTTTTTTTTTTTTTACTAATTATTTAAATAGATTTGTCCTAGATGTGAAAGGTGGATTGTTTGTGTAGGTTTTTTAACCCATTCGTTGCCTCCAGCTTGCTATTTAGAGTTTGATTTTGAAGAAAATGAGTGATATTTTTAATCACTTTTTCCTTTTAGGTTAATCTCCGAGCCACTGATGTGAAGCTTATGCGCCAGCTACTCATCATCAATGAAAGTATTGAATCAATCAAGTGGATGATTGAAGAGAAGGCCATTGCAAGCAGAGGTAGCAGTTTGAGTGGCAGCCTGTGTAGCTTGCTGGAAAGTCAGGAGATATCCCTCCATGGCAGCTGTAACAGTTTACAGGACTGTAGTGATGGACTGGATGGAATATCAGTGGGGAGTTACTTGGACACCTTAGTGGATGATGTCCCTGGTCACCAAACCCCTTCAGATATGGACCAGTTCAGTGATTCTTCTATTATGGAGGACTCACAACCTCTGCATAAGCATCCCAAAATTGATTCTGATGAGTACTACTGTTTTGGTTAACAAAAAAATGTTCCAGTGGGACATAAATGCACTTGTACTTATCCTTTTTCTTTGCTGCTATTTTATTTCATGTGCAAACCCCCCAAACTTCTCTTGGAAGTAAAACATAATATGATACTTTGATTCCACTTCATAACTTTTCTTTTGCTTCTAACACATTTTCTCCTTGGTGGGTTACACTTTTCTCCTCCTTACCTTTTCTTTTTCTTAATTTATTGTTGCAATTTTTCTTCTTTTTTTTTTTGTTTTAATTTTTTACAATGCTGTATTTACAGGTCTTTAAAAGTGGTGAAGGAAAAGCTTTATCTTTATAATGAGACATCAGGGAACAAGAGCAACAATTTTGTATTTGTTGGGAATAAAATATCTTCTGATAAATCTATGTTGTGGTAATTTTTCTTGACTACCAGGTTTGGCCTTTCCAAAGACACTGTTCTTATTAAGCCTTAAATCTGAATCTCGAGAATACCTCCTCAAAATAATTTTCCTTTTGTAAGCAATGATATTTGATTGTGTTAAGCTGTCTTCACTTGGAATATAAAGTATTGTAAACTTTTCTGTGTGGGGTTTCTTTCTTCTTGAATGTTCTCATCCTTCTTGTCTAATTATGGTTTTAAATTCCAGGCTTCATTGGTGTCTTGCAGTGATGCATTCCAATACTGGAAGCTCTGCATAAGAGTTTATTTCCTTTTTGTGCTTCATAGCTTGCATTTTCATTGAACCTGCTGTTTTATAGGCAGAGTCTACATCTGTAAAAAAATTAAAGAGGCACCCCACATTAAAAATATGCCATTGTAATAGTTTGGATACCGAGCCAAAATTTCTCAGCAGTTATTTTAAAAATATAATTTAAAGTCTTGAAAATTTTTACCTTGAAATCTCAAGGGATTTAGAGGGCACTGGTGAAGCAGTTTACAGGAGGCAACATGATAGAAGGCATGTCCTGTTTTGCTTTTGTATGCACACCCTCATCCTTAATGTTTTTACATTTTACATACTTTGTTTTTACCAAATATTGTCACTGAGAGAAAGTGTTGCCCTACTGTCTTTTTGTTTCTTGTTTTACAAGTAAGAGTATGGTTTAATATTTTTGTGCCTGGTGGTACAGTTGAAAGCCATGGCTAGTCATTCATATTGGGAGCATCTGGGAAGAAAAACAGGAACAAACTGCTTTGTGGAAAGTCTCTGGCTTTGTGATTCCCCTGGCCCATGCTTTTGTGCAGAAGATCAGGAGGCGGATTTTTCTTTTAATTGCTTCAGAATCATAAAGAAACAAGATTTTATGCATCTACAGTAAAACAAAATAAGAATAAAAAAAATACAATTGAACTGGACATTTTAACAGATTAATGAATGTGTATTTCCATCTTACAGATAGTGAAAGAGATGTTGATACTTGCACATCATCTAAAAGTGTCCCGTCTTGCCATGTTTGTATTCCTTCTGCCAGTAAAGCATGAAATTGACTCACCAAAGAAACTAATGTCTGCCAGCTTATAATACAGGCTCCCTATTTTAAATATATTTTACACATTCTGAAGGAATTAAGCTAGTATATGCAGCAGTCTACGTTTGTTGGTTTGGTTCATTTTGAGATAAATTAATATTCCAATGAGGTTCTCTTTTTCCAAGCCATGTTTCCATAGATCTGTCTTGTCCAGCCTTGACCAACATCAAATGTGGAGAAAAAGTGAAAACTCGAGAAACCAAAAGAGACAATTTTGCTTTGTGATTAGCTCCATTATTTCTCAATACAGTAGATGTCTGTGTCCCTCAAAATTGAAAAACAAGATGTGTATATTCTGCTTTGGACATGGTGATTTGTTCAAAGAGAGTGAGAGTGAAGAAATGTGTGATTATCAAGAATGAGGCTTCTTAGTTCAACTTCTGAGATTAACCAGCATATTGCAGATAGCTTGAAGGAAAACAGAGACAAGCCCTCAAATGGCAATGCTATGCTGACTTAACATTTTTAGATTTTTTAATTCCTTCCCCACCTTATGACTGACAGGCATAGTTTGAAAAAAAAAAATGTTTGAAGAAAAAATCTTGGAAAAAATTATTTCTCGGTGTATCATTAAATAGAACATCAACTGTGCATTCAAGGTAAGTTTTATTACTTTAAATTATTTGAATCTAGGGAACAGAACTAACTCTGTGGCGTACAACTGTGACTTTCTTGAAAGTTTTTCTACTTTTAGTGTGGAAGTTAAACATCAGGATGTATACTCACTCTGAATGTAACAAATGTGCAATATATACAGCTTTTTCTTCTCCAGCTGAGATTTGGGGCAGTAGGCCAAGACATGCATAAAATTTTTCTACTATGAAGGAAATTCAAAAATATTTTTAACATACCTTCTCAAATATCCCCTAGAGTTATGCTGAAATTACTTCAAGGAAAATACAGGCTGTAGCTGTCACCCACACACTCACGGCTGTAATACCTGATAAAGAGTAATTACATCAGTGATAGATTTATCATGTTATGATTAAAAAGTTCATTTAAATAGGAATCAAAGCTGGCAGAAAAAAGCCTACTACTGGAAGTGGTGAAATAAAAACTGTATGTGATTAGAAGGTTTTATTCCTTTATGTCTCTTGACTGGAAGTGGAGAAAGAGTACAAATGACAAAAACAGAGATGCCAGGAGACTGATAGAAGGAAACAAGAATTTCCAGGTTTTTTTCTCATATCCAGGAATACAAACACCTTGGATTTTATTTTTGAAGCTTAAAAACATCAAAGATTTAGGTTTGACTTAGATTCCTTAATTGCATTAAAAGGGCTTGATAGCCAAAACATAATAATTTACTCTGACTTCCCGTTTAAGACAGACTGTGTAATTTTATTATCTCCTAAAATGAATCCAATAACTTACGATTGAACTACAACTTCACTATCTAGGCAATGGAAAATGTTCAATGCTCCTTAAAGAATATTCCCATTGGGCAAGTAATTTTGATTTTAAACAGTTTACATATTTCTTCCAGCTTCTTCTTGACTTGGTCAATCTTGGTCTTACAAAATCTTTGTCTGGTAAAGTGAGATCGCGATGCCCTCTTCTAGCATTTTGCAGAGCTGGATTCTTTTTTCCTTTGAGTTTCCGTGTAATTTTTTTTCTGATTTACAGAACTGAAAACCAATATTCAGTAGTATAGGACAGAGTATCTGAAAGCACTTTACAAAGCTATACAAAGCTATGTCTGTTTCAAATGGATAAAAGCAATAGAATTTAATAAAAAAAAAGAAGGGGAAAAATAGCAAATATAATTCATTTATTCTCTGTCATTTTCTATCATCTTGGCTCTTCTGTCACTGAGCTTGCTTCCAGGCATGACAAACAATTTCATACAATTGGTGAAATCACAGAAAATGAACAACACCCAGTCCATTCTTATTTCCATAATGCTGAAGTTTTTTCTTTGAAAGATATTCCACTATGTAAGCTGTGCAATTCAGAGATAATAAGGGACAGTCAAAAAAGATAGATTGAGCATGCTTTCTGTTTTAAAATAACTGTTTTCTGCTAATAATAGGAACCAGATAGTAAATAGAAGTGCTCTGGTTCACAAACAAACCATTGCAGAAGGAAGGGGGGGGGAGAGGGCGGGGGGGAATAAAGCTCAACTTCCACATCTGAAAACCATTGTGCTTTAAAGATTCTGCTAAACCAGTCTAGCTGTGAATTTGTGTTGCACTTTCAAAAGAGCAATTAAAATTCTTTGAAATCTCTCTACCAACTGCCAGGTCTAGTAATGATCCCAAGGTTGAATGACTGTCTGTGTCTCCGCAAATGCTATGAGAGGATGAAGAACCAAGCAGGAGCTCTTGGATCTACCAGGAGGCCAGAAACATTGTCCTGAGACATTGAAGACAGAACACTATCTCTGCCTTTGAAAGGCACACTACCATTATCGAGCTAATTGAAACGGTATAAGAAAAGACAGAAATCTGGTGTACCTTGTTAAAATGAGCCCTGACTTTTGAAAAGAGTGGTAAAACGCTGGAAGTACTATCAAAATGTTTGAAAGCTTGAAGTTTCAAAAATATTAGAAAAAGAGAACTGGTTAGTCAAGGTGGTTGAAGTGCAGACTGAAGTAATGTCTGGTTGCATCATGTAGCTGTATCTCATGTAACCCTATATAATCCACTCAGAAACTGAGGGGTTTTGTTTAGTAATCTTAAGAAGTTACTAAGCTGTCTGAAAAGCCTGTGCTAGTATTTTTCATGTTGCCAACACTTCTTCTGAACCAAGCCTAAAAGATGTGTCTTTGATATAAAGAATTAACATATACCAAATAAACATGAGATCAGTAGAAAGCATCCATCACCTTACAGCAAAGGACGCTTTTTTTCACTTTAAATGTGCTCTGTTACAGCAAGTTTGTCTTTCCCAGAATAGCTATGAATTTACTATAGAAATAGTACAAGAGCATCCTGCCCCGAAATAAAAAAAATCTTTTCCCTTACATAAATTACAGAGATTAATGCTGCCTGCACTTGAGCTTTCCATTGGTCAGAGAGTAAATTTCCCTGGTACGTATACCTAGACTGAAAATAAAAAAATTTATTGTTTCCCACATGAAATTTTCTATGCTATAGCATACCACTAAGAAGATAAACAATCTTCATGAACTCTTTTTAAAAGCATGCTCTTCCAGCAAACATATCTTGTCCTTGGGACTGACATTTCCATATAGTCTTGCTTGGTTTTGTTGGCTCAAGCCCGAAAGAAACATGTTTGAAAATATAGGTCTTTTCGTTACTGTTTGGGGACCACATGATGCAAATGTCTAAGAATAAATTTAGGTAACACAATTTTTTTTATTTTTATTTTTTAAATTGGCTGCAGAATCTATGTTAGTATTCCTGAGCAGTTTTCTTTTTTTTTTTTTTACCCCATTTTTGTCTAACATCCATATGTAGAGAAAGCAGCAGAGCCCAAAGTCTGAAATCGCTGTGGACCGTAGAGCACAATTATCCTCAGTGCAAACTTGTCAGCATTTCTAAGTCCAAAATTTTAGAGCTATCAGCTATAACATTATAATACATTAAAACCGTTTCATATCATCACTGTATCGATCATATTCTGGAAACCTGTGAGACCACTGAAACCTTTTTAATCTAGAAAGGATACTGCTTTGATTTGGTGAAGGAAAATGTTATTGTTAGAACAGTGTTAATTACGAACTCAAAGGAGAAAGTACAAAACAAAATTAAAAATCTTTTGTGTTACATCTGTCTTCAACATTGTTGGAGACAGTGGTTTTCTTCAATGTTTGTTGTACCACTTGAAAATAAAAAGCAGTTTACTTTTTTTCAGATAGCATTATGTGAGGTTTTTTCACAACTGTTCAAAGTTGTTCTAA